TAACGTGGGGCTCACTTTTTGTTTGCTTCTAGGCCTGTTGAAATTCTGCACTGTGGGGTTCTGTGGAATTGGAAGCTTAGTGGACTTCATGTTGATATCCATGCAGGTAACACTTTTGACCCATTTATTGATGCATGCATTTCCTTCTGCTTTTTCCTCAAAGGTTGATCCATTTTGTTATTTTATTTTGGTTACTGATGCCTAACGTATTAGTCATTCGGGCTTTTGTTTTGTTTTATGCCCCACGTTTTCTTTCCGATTGGCAGTAATTGTGTCGCTTCACATTGTATTTTGCTTTCACCAAGGATAGAAAGTATATTTGATTTTTGAAATGTGCTTTTTTTTATTTTATTTGGTTACATATTTTATTCATTTATTATTTAGGAATTATTTTATATATATATTTTTTTTTAATTAATAGGATAGGATAGTGGAGATATGACAGGAAGCGAGTGGGATGAGATCGGGAAAGTGCCACGAGGCGGGATTCGAACTTGGGACACCCGAAGCGCAACTGCGCGCAATTCTCCCTCTTAACTAACTATTAACTATGCCTTTTGCCTCAAACTCATGATTTGCTTCTTAAGTTATTAAGGAGGATTAAGATATCTAAAATATGATAATGCAGAATAAGGCATTAATATATGCTTTATAAGTACTAATAAACAGCCTATATGCTAGTAATATGCATGCTAGTAAGCAACTAGTTAATAGTGAGAATTGGTCCCTAAACTAAAGTGTTACCTTATTAATAACATTAATTTACATTTATATTATTTTTATTTATTTATTTTAATTTTACAGTGAAATATGATTCAGACATTTCTTTACGAATCCTGCAAATGTGCGGTTCATGAGCTATCACCATTGTGCCATTTGATCAAGACCTTTAATAAATATACTGTAAGTCACTTTGGTTAAAAGCGTGTGCTAAATGACTACTAGATTACATTTAGCATATTAGGGTAGTAACCAGGGGAGGCACTCTACCCACAATCCCCTAAATGAGCTGCAGACACAGAGACTCAGCACTGACTTGTACTTGAATGCTTGTGTTTGTATTCAGTGGCACCTGCGTCTCTCCTCCGGTGCCTCCAGCTCTGTGAAAGGAGCTAATGAGAGCGTGGTTTGTTTTCGCCTCCTCCTGTCCTGAGTCGCACGCTCCCACAGGACTCCCCTAACCCCTATTAAAGGCCCCCTACACCTGACAAGAGAAAAAAGCCACTCCATTTGTCATCTTGTTAGGCCTAACCTCACCCACTCCGCTCTCATTAGGCCTCACGGGTCTGAATGAAGCTATACATGAGAGACGTTTGCTCACCGCTGCCACTTCCACACACCACTGATGACAGATATTTATGGAAAGCTCTTATGCATGTTGAAGGATGGCTCCAGGAATAATTATTACATGTACTTTAGAAATCCGCAGACTGCTGCGTCATATGTTGGAAATGTTTGCGTCCCCCGCTGCTAGTGAAAACACTTTTTTTTTTTTTTTGATTTGCTCAGATGTGTCTGAGCTACTGAATGCTGAGGGAACAATGAGCTGATGTCTTGCGACATGTTTTAGCATGTTGGAAAAGATCAGGACAGGACAGTTACGTTACCTTAGTTGTCATTCGTCTCAAGAATCATACGTCATTATTAAGCTACAGCCTTTCAATCTCTTTCAAATTTACTGACTTCCATAAACATTGTGCGCCTCAAATCCTCCGTACCTGGTTCGATTATGCGTAGTCGCCTGCAGCACACTACCTCAAAACAATACATGTCCATTCATTGACATTTTCAGGCTCCTGCCAGTTTATCATCACTCCTTCAGTCGTTTTGTGTTACTCCTCGGAAAAACCCGCTCCTTCTAGCCGCAGTGGATAAATAAAGCAAGCCTTTATTTTTTTAAATGGCCGTGGCGGCTTTGATTAACAGGGCCACTGCAGTGTTTATTGTTCTCTTAATGTCTTATTGAAGGCCCTGGGAGAGCAATGCTTTTAAGAAGTGCCTCTGGCAGCCAAAGCTGTCACGCGCTAACATTCTCAATTAGCTGTCGACTGTCGGGCCTCTACATTTTTAAATTGTGACACTTTTGATAAAGAGTATCCCCTTCCCTCAAGACCCCATTTGCACACATCGCTCCTCTCTAAAACCCCATATTTTATACACTAAACTACCTTCGCTAAGAGCCATGTCGTCCGGGAAATGCATCTTTGAGAACTAATGAATAAACACCTGGGACATGTTACTGTTATTTATATTCATCAATATTCCGTCCCGCAAGTCGCACCACGTTTTGGCCTTTTGAAAGTAATGATGCAAGATTAACGGTGCCGCAAATCTATAGGTTTGAGAGTGGAGGCATCGAGTGAGTTTGATGGATGGAATGTTAATGGTATGAGAGAACATGAAACTCTAGTTGACCACCACACCAATCTAGACAACTCTCGGCCGATACCATTGCGAGAGGAAATAGCTTGTATTGGGCCACTGCCAGACGAACGCTAATCTCGATATGGTAGAACACAGTGTCTATGTTTGGTGGGCACTTTTCTCCCTCTACCAGATGTGTGTTCTCATTATCATCCCGTCCCAAAGCGTAGCGGAGCAGAGCCGGCAGGGCCAGGTGTTGGGCACGTATGCCTGCAGGAAGCCATTACACCGTCTTTGTGCGTCAGTCCAAGCATGCTGCTTGGATAGTAGCTGATCTCAAAACTGGCACGGGCCCCAGTTTGGGCTCATTGTGAAGCTCTGATCTGGGGACTGTCCTTCGGGACACTCCTCCTCACCAGGACTCCAAAAGCAACCTCAATTACAGCACTGCCTGGGGTTAAACTTAAATTGCCTCCAATTCGGCATTACTGTCTTATAATTCAATTGTACGAGCATGAGCCATCTGAGGAGGACGATAGACCCTACCAGCCCACCTGGTATTCATCATTGTGTAATGTGGAATCATGTAATTGTCTGGTGAAAGATTACATTATGTAGGTCTCCCTATGCTGCTCTGACATTTGAGACTCATTCTGTTTGCTCTGGTGTAGATCGTGGGCCCATCAGATGGGTCGGATTACATTGTGGACTACTACGGGGCACGCCTCACTCGTCTTTCGATAACAAATGAGACCTACAGAAGAACGCAGCTCTCTCAGTGAAGACACCAGGTGAGGATCTCTTTGTCAAAGAAGTGAAAACTTAATATAAGGTTGGATGGTATAGTTGTGAACCCTGTGACACAAAACCAGCAGTGTTGAAAGGAGAAGACAATGGGCGTATTGGTAAGTGGCATATTTTGAAAGTCCTTCAAAGATTTCTCAATAATGCGCTGAGTCAAGGTCAGTGGTGATCTCGAGTGACCTCCTGGGGTATCAAAGCAAACTGGCAGACCAAGGATACCTTCAGCTGTGTTCTAAGCCCCCGTCCACCGCCCCTCACTCTTCTGTTCCCCAGAAGGGGCTCCCTGCTCTGGGGAGAGAGAGAGATTAAATGTCAGACGTGCCGAGAGGACATTGGGAAAACACGGCGGGGTCGTGAGATTGCACTTATTATGGCTAGCACCAGGGCTGCATTTGTTGAATTTTGTCCTGGTACTCCACACACACACTCTTGCAGACATCCCCGGTATCCAAAAAAAAATAGTGGCCGCATTCTAGACGATTCCTTATATCTGTGTCTGTCCCCTATCAGTTTCTGTTTCCTGCCAGTTCGGCTCTCTGGTTAACATTTGCTGCCGCAGTGGAAATGGCGGTGACAGGGGTGTTATGCGGAATTGGACCCATGTGGAGACCATTACTTGCTCTCCCGTGTGTCCATTGTTCCAGCATAAGCCTCCGAAAAGAAGAGTTCTCCATCCCTGATTCACTGATCCACATTCACCACATTTCCTTGTCTATTTGCTCCTTTTTTCTTCTATCTCTCTCTTTCTTTCACCCAAAAATTGCGAGGAGTTTCATGAAGCAAGTCTAGTCTGAAAACAGAGGCATTTTCAGTAGAGAATTGTGACAGAAACTAAGACCAAGACTAGGTTTATCTGTAGGCCACCACCTCAAACCATAATCCTTGCTATTTCTTTGAAGCCTGATACAGATTTGTTGATCTAACATTAGATCTAGTGCTATTTCAAGACAATCAGCCGATATTTAGAAGATCCCAAGGTAGATCTAGATAAATCACCCCAGATATATATGGTCGACACCTAGATCTTAACCAAACAACCCAAATTTAGATGATCTACACTTTTAGACAAAGCAACCTGTGTGTCAAATGGTCCAGTCCTTGGATATAAAAAATGCAAAAATTGTATCCTAAGGGTTGAATACCTTGTCATTGGGGCAGAACCATTAAAGAACCTCATCTATCCCTAAAAGTTGAATTACTACCATGAAACCTTCATGGGTAAATAAGGTTCAAAGATGTCCCTTTGAGGGTTCTGCCCCAGCAACAAGCTATTGTACCCCTGAAAGTACAATATATTTACCTTTTACTTTTTCTGACAATGCACAGGGCATGAAACCCTCTGATAAATGTCCTACAACCAACTTAATCCTCCTCCTGTTTTTCTATGTTTTATCCTTATAAATAGGTTTCTCATGTTTACATCAGCTCTGGAATGAATCCAGAAACGCAAATGATGTTCTTTCTCGTATAGGAAAAATTACACTGATCCATTTTCAGCATTGGAAACGTTCCCTGCCACATGTGTCTTCTCCAGTGTGGGAAGAGACTGATTTATCTTCTGCTTGTGTTATCCTGGACCTGCTCCCAAACAGAACTAACTCTTTCCATTCTGCCATTTCAGGTGGATCCCAGTGAGATGACCCACCAAATGTACATCGACCATCTTTTCTTTGGACATGCCTTTGCCGTTTCCAAACACAAAGACACATGGATGTGCCAAACAACGCTCTGGGAAAGACTAGCCCATGTCTGGAGTTGCAAACATGGCTCATGTATGTGCTGAGCTAGCATTGGTCCCACTGCTCCAAGTTCTGCTAGGATCCTTGTATAGCTGTTTTTTTCCACTGGACTGCTCATGTCCTCTATCACTCTCTCTCCATTTCTCCATTAATCAATCTCTTGAATGTCATCCATCTTTTGTTTATTTTCATTCCTGTCCTCACTAGCTTCACATTGTTGGACATTGTGTGATGTTTTGATGTTATTTAAACACTGTAAATAAAGTTTTATTATCATTTTCTGTGCTGACATGTTTTGTACTTTGCTTTGTTAGTGCTGACCAGTATTAGTGGATGTTGATTTTTGTCGTTGACCTGAATTGGCCGATATTAGGAAGGTAATTTTTTTTAATCATCAGCCCTCATATAATAACATCTGGTATTGGTCAAAATAATCTCTAATTGTAAGATATCATATAATATTGGGTTGTTACACATTTCAGGTGTCTAGTAAAAGTGGTTCATCGTAATCCCCTCTGATCTTCAAATGGTCTGTGTCAGACCAATGTCAAGTGCTCCTTCAATTTTACTTGAGTGTGTCTGCTTGTCTGCCCTGCCTCAGTCTGTCACATCGCCATTAATACAGACTCCTGTAGAGGCTCTTCATCACGCTGAAGTGATTGCGGAGCAGGCCTGACTACTCCAATGTGTGTGCGTTTACGTGCGTACGAGCATGCTTCCTTATGAACTGCAGTGTCCTTGCTACAACATGTACGACTCTGCTTGGATATGTAAAAACAGATTTAGCACGTTCCCCAGCGTCTGTGATGACGGGTGACCAGTGCTGCTTTGGGACTCTGCCCAAGCTCTCCAGAGCCTGATTTAGGCATCTCTATAAATCTCCATGAAACAATAGTTTGGACAGCGAGGATTCGCACAGTTTTAAGATGTTCAGTCACTTTGAAAAGCAACCGCATGGTTCAATTTGAAGCATCATTCATGTGAGGTAGGCCCTGAAGTTTGCTACTTAAGATTAGGGATTTGAAAACCCTTAACCGTAAGTATGAGCAATAATAACAATGCACCGCTAAGAGTTTGAATGGGTTTAGATTAAGTATATCATGTCATACAGCTGTCAGAGTTGTTAAATGTCTCCTTAAAAATGGAGAACAAGATAACTTTGATCTTTTAATATAAAAGAAAAAAGTGATTCATGTGCAAAATGTTTTCCTAACCCCCTCTGTCCCTTTCTGGTACCTCTTTTCTCCTCCTCTCTCAAGCTCTTTTCTTGTTCCCCAGCAGTGCAGGGCTTATCAATAGACCCGCCGGATAAGAGACTAGAGATTTATAGTGCACTTCCCACAAGAGAAAGCAGCAGCTCTGGGACTGCACCCTCCCTCAGTGCGGAGGAGGCCATTCCTCATCCGGCCCTGGTGTTTTATAGGTGCAACCTCCATCTCTCCCTCTCCCGCTCTCGGGCCCTTTGAGATGGAGAAAAATTAAGAGGAGGAAACAGCTCTGAGGCGTGGGGTGCTCCCTTTCTTTTACCCGTCCAAAAACAACAAACTCCCAAAGGAGGGGTGAAATAATCCTGCATTGCAGACCACATTGATTCCTTATGCAGCTGCATCAGGTGGGGAAATGGGTCCAAAATCACTTATTCCTTCTCTCGTTCACTATTTCCAGTATGGTGCATGCCACGTAGTGCATTTTATGGGGAAAGAAGAGAACAAAATGAATGAGTGACTAGCTGCATTTTCATTACCCTTAAAAGGTTAGTTCACCCAAAAATGAAAATTCTGTCATTAATAACTCACCCTCATATCATTCCAAACCCATAAGACCTCCGTTCATCTTCGGAACACAAATTAAGATATTTTTGAATCTGACAGCTCTCTGACCCTGCATAGACAGCAAGGGTACTACCACGATCAACGTCCAGAAACGTAGAAAGGAAATCGGTAAACCGAACGCAAACAGCGTATGTTGTTCTGTGTCAGCCGCACCACACCAAACAACATACGCTGTTTGCGTTCAGTGGATATTCTCCAAAATGGCGCTAAGGTGACACGGAGGAGACGAATTGTTTAATAAAGTAGTTTTTTTTTCTTTTGCGAACAAAAAGTATTCTCGTAGCTTCATAATATTGCGATTGAACCCCTGATGTCACATGGATTATTTTACCGATCTCCTTGCTAAATTTCTTGACGTTGATCGTGGTAATTACCTTGCTGTCTATTGGCGCTTTTCCACTGTATGGTATGGCTCGGCACGGTTCACTTTTGGGGGATTTTCCACTGGGTACAGTACCTGGTACTTTTTTTAGTACCACCTCTGTTGAGGTTCCAAGTGAACCGTACCGTTACCAAAACGTGACGTGTAAACTCTGCTGATCACGGATTGGCCGGAGAGAATAGTCACTACCTGCGTCACTGAACTTGCGACACAAATACAACAGAACCGCTAGATTTAAATCAGCATACCAAAAAGTGGCTGTTTCGTTGTCTGTTGAGGAAGTACAGACGTTCCTCTCGTTGATAGCAGAGGAGCGGATCCAGCGAGAGCTTGATGGGGCGACACGGAATGAAAACGTTTTTCAGGAGACGCGGCAATAGAGGCGGCGCAACTATAATGACGTGAATAATCCCGCCCACACTAAAGCGGTACTGAACTGCAGTGGAAACGCAAACCGAGCCGTGCCGTGCTGTGCCGTATCGTACTGAGCCGTGCCGAGCCGAGTCGTACCACGCAGTGGAAAAGCGCCATAAGGGAGGGTCAGAGAGCTGTCAGAATGCATCAAAAATATCTTAATTTGTGTTCCGAAGATGAACGGAGATCTTACGGGTTTGGAACGACATGAGGGTGAGTAATTAATGACAGAATTTTTCATTTTTGGGTGAACTAACCCTTTTTAAATTGCGCAAATTGAAATTGCAAATTGAAAATATGCCTTATGGAAACATGTCAATTTCGCAAAAACTCCCATATATCGCTAAAAAGTTTTTATGCTTGTATCAGGCAATTCGATAAAAGGAATATATCGCAAAACTGCAAAGGAAACATGATCATTCTTTAATGCACTATAACCTCCAAGAAACACCTCATATGTGGCTGCTCTCAAGTATAAAGGTATTTTCTTGCCATTAATGATTGAATAACCCCTTATTTACACTATTTATTTATTTCTGCTTGTGTTTATAGCAGCTGCGGCTCTCCGCACTGCTTCACTAAAGATACACGTCTACATCTACTTCGATTAAAAATAATGGCTAGTGCGGTGGCTGCAATATATGTTAACCTACCGAAATCTGTTGCCATGACTTGACATTTTTTTTTGTTTTAGTCGCATAACATCGGTTAATGGAAACGCCATTATTTTGCAATAGTTTTTAATCAACATTTATAAAATATCGCAAAAGTTTTGCGCAAATTTGTAATGGAAACGCACCTAATGTGGTGTCTGGTGAAAATGTGCAGCAGAAAAGGTGCTCTATGCGTATCTTGTAGTGTAAAATTGCAATAATAGTTTAGTTCATTACATATGCAACTTCATGCTTTGGTTTTAGGGATGATTTGATGATTGAACAGATCTTTGTCTGTATTTAATAATATCTATTTATTTGAGCTTAGCAGTCTTTTTCCCATTGGATTGTGCATAAAAGAGTGAACTCTATAAGAAAATTAAGTGCTTACAGCATTTAAATAATTTACAAATCAGACAACAAAATGGCTGACACTCCATACAGTGCACTACATGAGCGATTTAGCAGCTAAATTGTTTGGTAGATGGTCATGTTAGAAAAAAATGACTTGAAATGTCAAAGGCCTGTGGCTGAACTTTGAGTCTTTGCCTTCTGTCCACCTGAGAGGTTTGATACACAGAGACTCTCAAGACAAGATGACACTAAATAGCGCAAACAGGAAATAGCTGAGATCATGGGGCAAGTAAGGTTTTGTGTAAGTCTAAATGGAGGTTTCTGAGGTAATTTAATGGCCCCAAAAAGTATCTTAACATTTAAGCCACACTTGAGTTCAAATTGACAACAGTGCTTAAAATCTAATGACATTTAGACATTTTTAAGTGTGGTTTAAATGTCCAAATTCTTTTTGGGGCCACTAGCCGTAATGTTGTATGTGTTTGACATGATAGGATGTGGACAGGTCCACAGCTGCGAAATCCCACAGTGAGTGCAGCATATCTGCTCCATTCCCAGAATTCAACAGTCTTGAAATGTGATCACCAAGAAACCCCTGCCCTGCAATCACCACTTCTCTCTCGGTCTCTCTCTCGTTTCTAAACGTGTTTGTGCATTGAAGTGCAGATGCAATCATGAATGGAGCGCTCATACACTCATGATATTGACAAGCATTTCTGGTTGACACTGTGCCAAGCAAGCTGTCCTTGTCACTCTCGACAGCCTGTAAAGAAAATGATGAACAAATTTCTGGGCTCCTTGATAAACGCTTTCTGATCAAAGCTTTGCATGTGCTAATAAAAATAAATGGAGGCCTGTTTCTGCCTCAGAGTAAAAAAAAAATTTATACGTTATTTTTTATTGCAACTTTAAATGTCACATGTATAATCAATTTTGGTAATAGCTACTTTAACTTGTAATTTATGCTTTATCTCATAATAACGTCAATTTCTCTCAATTGTGACATTTTCTCGTAATTTCTAGTTTATTCTCTTAGATTGCAACTTTATATGCCAAAATTGCAAGGACTGTTTTCTCGTAACTGTTTTTTTTTTTGCAATTTCTACTTTATCATAATTTCAACTCCTCCCTGACTATTTTCCTCAAGATTGCAGTTATTTTTCATAATAGCTCATTTAAATAAATACTTAATATTTCACAAATTCACAATTATTTCTCTTATTTGTGACTTTATTTCTCCAAATTGTAACTCTTTTCGCACAATAGTGATGTTATCATCTTAATTACAACTGTACGTGTCTTAGCTGTGACATTATTTTTCATAATTGTGAATTTATATTTCACAATTGTGTCTTCACTTCTTAATTTAGTTTTAATTTAAATTGCAGCTTTTTCTCACAGTTGTGACTTTATATCCCAAAATTGCAACTAGTATATTTCTTGTAATTGCTACTTTTTGTCACTTATAAATTATTTCTCATAATGCTACTCTCAATTAATTTTTTTCTCACAACTGTGACTTTCTTTCCTCATAATTGTGACTTTATATCTCACAATTCTGGCTTCATTTCTTATTTTAAATGTTATCTCAAAATTAAATGTATTTTTTGCTCTAAATGTGGCAACAAGAATCCAAGAAAAAAATAAAAAACATGGTTAAATTTCTCATGAGAGCAAAAGCAATCAGTTAAAATTACTTTCTTCTTCAACGGTGTCAAATTGCGCGCATAACCTCTTGCGTTACAGAGACATCTGCCTCATTTGGATGGATTGATGGTGTCAAAACAGTCTTAGTTTTTGATTATTGTGCAAAAACAAGTGCAGGTCACACACACGAACAGACCAGACTCCCAATTGTCACCATTTACGAAGACTGTGTGTGTGTGACCTTCAGTCCAAGCGTGGTCTTGTAAGCTAATCTGCTTGGCTCCTCACTGTGTGTGTGTGCGTGGCCTGCTAGAAATGAATCGAGTACCGTGTCGTGGCTCTCGACGCAGTCTATGACTCAGCAGAAACGCAGTCAGTCATCGTCTCCTGTCACCCCGCACAGCCCCACTGCAATGAAGCTGTGGACACAGCACGTCGGCAGAGAAGATTCATGGCGCTGGCATACTGCGCTGTCTCACCTCTGAGTCAAACACCCCGGCGGCGTGGGCAGAGCTCATCCTCGCTGATGGAGACGCCACAGCAGCATAGAGAAATCTTTGTTCGCCAGCTGCCCCTGATTTTACAAACATTTTACACTCCTCCCCCCACCTTTCCCCATTTCTTCTAAAGTACATCCTGTTTTTTTGGCCAAGTTCTTGGCTGGGAGAACCCACGCAAACTCAGGTCCAGCACTCGCAGCTATTCAGGGTCACGCGTCATGTGTGTTTAATCAAAATTCAATTACTGTGCCGCACCACGCTCCAAAACCCCACAGCCCAGGTTATGAAGTATGATGAAACAGGCCCTGGCTCTAATTGGTTCAGTATGGAGCCAATATCTCCCTAGCATGTTATGATAAATAGCTTCCTGTGCTGGAGGTATGCGAGTCCAGTGTCCTCACCTTCTCCTGGTCTCCTTTTTTCTTTTCTTTCTAACTCTCATTTTCTATCTTTCCACACGTTTCTTACATGACTCTGATCAGTCCGGTGGGATGCAGGTCAAGGTTGTGGGGTTTTTAGAGTCAGGCCTGTTGTGAGCGCTGCAGTACTGCAGTCACAACACATTGCTGTTCTGTTTACATTTTGATTGGTTTAGAGTTTAAACAATGATCTGACTGTATTACCATTATGTTTACAAAAAAGTATTACAAGTACTTAAGGGATTTATTGAGCACAGAACATAAGTAGGACCATGTTTTTTGTTTTGTTTTGGACAAGTTCAAGGTTTGTTGTCTAAAGAAAACTGCGGAAAGACATGTACACAACAGAGTATGTGAGCGGAGTGGAGCGGAGTGGAGCGGCAAAAATTTCCCCTCCACGCTCCAAGCATTCGATAATCACTCTGCTCCGGGTTCACCATTTCCCGCTCCCGCTCCACTCCTCGCAGAAACACCGCTCCGCGGCTAAATTATATCACTATGCTTGAAAAATCAAAGTTCTGTTCAGAAATTATATTAAACGAAAAATAAATGCATAATACTAGAAGAATAGTTTTAACATGGTTTATTGGAACACTACAATTAGCCCAAGTCCATATTAAATGACTGCTTAACTCGCTTAGCTTACTTGTCTATGCAATGTCTCTCTACTATGGCGAAGCTGAGGGTAGTTACTTCAGAAACAGAAAGAATATGCTGTAACTTTTCCGTTTTTAAGCTGATAACAGGACAGCGTTGACCAAATTTTCTTAATTCTGTACGTTATGTGCGAGCTTATGTGTTCTGTCCGTGTACAGCAATGTAGCAGCACATTAGTTTTTCGAGTGGAGATTAACAAACTGTACAATTTACAACATGCTTTAACCTCCCGCACTTGTCCATCGCCATTTTAACCTTCATATGTGATCCACATATCTGTCAACCTAACTAATTATGTTTAATGCACGAGTTGGCATAATTTGTGCTCGTGACGGAGCGGTAGCGGAGCGTTCTCGGAGTGAGTGAAAACCTCAATGCTCCGACTTTCAAAAAATCCACTCCTAGCTCCAGGCAAAATCACTCCGCTCCGCTCACATACTCTGGTACACACACACACATACATTGTTTTCTGAGGTAAATGTAACATTATAACAAGCCGTTTTATTAATGTTTTTCTTTTCTTTCTGAAACTTTAACTGGGTGATTACAACAGACATGATACACTTCAGTAAGTTGTAGTTATGGCCGGCAGGCATATCACCCTGTAGCCCAAGACTGGTTGCCCACTGAAGCTAAGCAGGGCTGAGCCTGGTTAGTACCTGGATGGGAAAACTAGGTTGCTGCTGGAAGAGGTGTTAGTGAGGCCAGTAGGGGGTGCTCACCCTGTGGTCTGTGTGGGTCCTAAAACCCCAGTATAGTGACGGGGACACTATACTGTCAACAAGCACCGTCCTTTGGATGAGATGTTAAACCGAGGTCCTGACTCTCTGTGGTCATTAAAAATCCCAGGATGTTTTGCTTGAAGAGTAGAGGTGGGACCTCGGCATCCTGGCCAAATTTGCCCATTGGCCTCTGATCATCATGGCCTCCTAACAATCCCCATATCTACTGATTGGCTTCATCCCTCTGTCTCCTCTCCACCAATAAGCTGGTGTGTGGTGGGCATTCTGGCGCACTATGGCTGCCGTCGCATCATCCAGGAGGATGCTGCACACTGGTGGTGGATGAGGAGATACCCCCTGACAATGCCTAGTGCCTAGAAAAGCGCTATATAAATTATGAACTATTATTATTATTATTATTACTGTTTCGTGCTATAACTAGTAGTAAAGCGGAAGAGAGAATAGGTTCACGTGCGTGAACATGGTGTGTGCACACCAAAAGCGAAGCACATATTCGCATCGCGTACTGGCTCTAGATTACTCGCTGGATGTTTTTTTCCGTCACTGAATGAAAAATAAAAAAGGGCAATTGACTTTTTATCTCACAATTGTGAGAAATAAAGTCGGAAATGTGAGATATAAACAGGTAATTCTGACTTTTTTGTCAGAATTGCGTGATATAAACTATTTATAAAGCCAGAATTGTGAGAAATAAAGTCAGAGTTTATATTTCTCAATTGTGACTTTTTTCTCAGAATTGCAAGTTTATTTCTTGCAATTGACTTTTTTTCATTTATATCCCGCAAAAAGACAGAATTTTGACAAAAATGACAGAATATCTATAGCCTATATGTTTTTTCAGAGTTTGTTGTCCAAATGAAAACCAAAGACGTCAGTAAAACAGCTTGTAAATAATGTCACAACATTTACCTCAGAAAAGCTGTGTGTGTGTGTGTGTGTGTGTGTGTATGTAGCCTAGCTTTTCTGAGGTAAATGTGTTACGTCTTTCTGTGGTTTGGCCTATAAGCCTAGGTTTATAAATTAAAGTATAATGGTATTATCATGGTACAGCCACAGTATTTTTTGTAAGGCTTAGCTGCCTCTTACATTTATTTCAAACTAAACAGTGATGTAAATGCAATCTGACATTCAGAGTAATCCACTTACCCAAGATGAATTTTCCAAGACCTCATCCAGACTACATTGGTCATCCTTAAAAGTCGATATGAAATCAAAAATGACCCTATTTATTTTGTTAATTCAGTTCCTGGTCTTATTGTGTATGATTCATCAGTGCACATTATTCTAAAGAGAGAAATGTTTGTCTTTGTGATCTTTTATCAAAGTGTAATCAGTGTCATGTGACTAATGACTGTAGCTGATTGGCTGATGGCACCACGGTTGCAAATATAAGTCCATAAAGTCTCGTCTTTTATGTTTTTATCTCTAAATATCCTTTTCGTGTCAGATTACGAAAGTTAAATGGTTTCATGTTGGCTTTAAAACAACATTTGAAACAACTAAAAGTTTATATTTAATTATTCAAATACATTCATGTTGTCATCCTGAGCATGTTTGTTAGTGAAAGTGACACCCACTCGCTCTGATCTTGGCAGAGGAAGGCCTTTATTCACACGCACACACATCTACAGCCGCCCCACCTCCACCATCCCACCCCCAGCATGCCTACCCAGGTTACACAAGCCCATGAAATTACAGTTGTGTCGCTTGGAACCGAAAGTGTCAAGAGGAATTAATGATAAGGTGACAGGCTTCACGAAATGGTGATTGAAAAATAAATAAATATAGAGGCCAGACCTTTCCAGCCCCCCTCCGCTAATCCTTTATTTTAATTTTCACGTTTGGCGCTGGCGTGTCACCCGATAAGCCGGTCCAATATTCTCAAGCTGGCTCAGCCGTGAGTTTCTCAGCTGATGCTCTGCTTCCCTGCCAGGGAGCACGGGCACCGCCTGGGATTCGGAGAGCTCGGTGTGTTCCAGAAGGGTTGATTGTGTGTGGGTCAGGTTTGGCCTGCATTAGCCAAAGGAGAGGAAAACCGGAAATAACCTACATTGTGTGGGGCTCACAATAAAATGGGCTAATGGTTTTATAAATGATTTCTTTCTTTCTGAATGATTGCTATTTAGGTATTGCATTTTAATTACTTTTTTGGCAGTTCACTTAGGCCTGCAGCCTGACAAATATGTAAATATAATATTAATAAATTATATCATTTAAATATTTAAACCATAAAAACAAATATTTAACTTATAAATATTATACTTTAATTTTAATTAAAAGTGTAATTTTTAAATTATGTACATGGAAAAATTAAAACACCACTTGAAAATTCTCAGTTTCTCTGGATTTACTAGGTATGGGTTTGAGTAAAATGTTAATATTTGTTTTATTTTTATAAAGGTCTGATAACGTTTCTTCCAAAATTCAAATAAAAACATTGTCATTTCGAGTTATTTATTTATTTATTTTCAGAAAATGACAATTGGTCACATTTTCATCAGGGTTATTCCACCAAATATTGATTTCTTAACTCTTCTAAAGTAATCGGTATTGTGTTGTCTAAAAATTAATAGAAATATGTCTAAAAACATGGCATCTTATTTGTTATTTTGACCATTTGTCATTTAAAGGGGTCATATGATGTTGCTAAAAAGAACATTATTTTGTGTATTTGGTGTAATGAAATGTGTTTATGCGGTTTAAGGTTAAAAAAACACATTATTTTCCACATACTGTACATTATTGTTTCTCCTCTATGCCCCGCCTTTCTGAAACACGTCGATTTTTACAAAGCTCATCGGTCTGAAAAGCGAGGTGTGCTGTGATTGGCCAGCTATCCAGTGCGTTGTGATTGACCGAATACCTCAAGCGTGTGACGGAAATGTTACGCCCCTCACCATACTGTGATGCCTTCTCCCGGCCGGAGCGACGAGACAAAAACTTTCAAACCCATTATAAACGAGGCATTCGTTGCATCCAGTGGGAACATAATTACTGATTACAATGACTTATACTGTCTTTTTACGCGTAAACATAAAACCATGTCTGCATTTGTGATCGGAGAAATGACAAACAACAAGCGCTACTCTACACTGCTCAAAATTCGTGTTTGAATCATCAGTGGCAAATCCTTTAAATATGAAAAACGTACTTACAGTCTTTGAGTCAGAACAGCCAGCATTGTAGTCTACTCTCCCAGGATCAGGAAACAGTCCTCCATAAAATGTGCTGCACACATCTGAATATTTGGGTTGAACTGTTCTGGAACAGTGTTGTAAATACAACTTAACCACTGATTTCTATTTGTGTCCTCTTTTGGAAGGCCAAACAAAGTAGTTTCGCATTCATAATGAAACACACGGCGGGCAAGAGTGAGCGGCGGTCGGCGGGCTTGAGAACGGCGCGGCCGGCGGGCTTGCGGCAACCACATGTGACGACCCCGGGCTGGAGTCCACTTCGTCCGCAGTGAAAGCTGATCCAGTGATCCACAGCGCAAAGTTGTTGTATTTCCTCAGCGACCAGCATGGATCAGCTCCAGGCATGACGAAGCGGATATCGTCCTCTTTTGGAAGACCAAACAAAGTAGTTTCGCTTTCACAATGAAACACACAGTGCCTTCACGAAATGGCGGCGGCAACAAACTACAGCGAAAATAAAAGTTACGCCTTCTTTCTTTGCGTGAACATTTGGGCGGCGTTATGCAAATCTTCCCACATCGTGACGTAGACATGTGGGGGCTTGTTAGAATGAGTCATTTTAGCTAGGCGTGGCTGACTCTGAACTTTTATAAAGAATATCTCTTTGGATTTGAGACTTTAGTCTTTGCAACTTTACAGATCTTCTTTATGCACCAAGAGCTTGTAACACTCCAAAGAGAAAGGAAAAATTAAAATCGCATCATATGACCCCTTTAAATTTCATTCAAACTTGGAAGAAATGTCATCAGTAGTTTACAGAATAAAACAAAAATTACGTTTTACTCAAACACATAATTATAAATCATAAATCCAGAGATTTTCCCCCATAGCTGTATCTTATAATATTTATATCACTAAATTGATTGTTATTTAAAAAAAAATCTATTAAAAAAAAATATATATATATTTGCAATATTTTTATTTACAATATAATTTTTATATTTTTGTAATTATATTACTATTTTATAAGATTTAAATATATATTTTATGTAAAATTTAAAACATAACATTTTTTTTTATCTGAGGCTTAGTTTGATTGGTCACTTCGTTTCGATGTTTAATAACTTTTTTTGCTTCTGCCAATTTACTTAAGCAGTCTTATAGCATAGTAAATATTTGTTTAAATAATTATAATATTAATAATATAATAAATAAATATATATTTTAAATTAAAAATATATTTTAAATTATATATATATACATATATATATATATATATACAGTATATATATATATATAATTAAAAAATTATAGTTATACATTCTATTTTACTATTTTGTAAATATAAATATATCTAAATATAAATAAATATTCAATATATAATCTCTCAATTCAGGAAAGACTCGAGCACATAAATGCGCCTTAGAAAACAACCTTAACATCATGCTGGTATGTTAATATGTGCAAACACCACATATTTTCTTTAGAAAATGTAAATATCTATTAATTTATTGAGCAGTTTATTGTGTTGCATAGATTTCAGCATGTGACACCACAGCTTACGGCTGTCACCACTGTGATATGTCATGTGAACCGCCCGTATCTTTGCTGTACAGTCTCAGAATAATGTCTGCGAGCATAATCAGCTGTACAACCATAACCGTAATGGCTCAACGCGAGGCCTCCATGCACGCACACAGAGAAAGCCCGCATGTAAGACCCCAACTCAAGTTGACGAGGAAAGAGTCTTATCTGGGTATTGGATGTAATCCGCTCCGTGTCTGCCAATCCACTTAAAACAGGGCAGTCTGCGTGAAATGAACAGCACCTGTTCAGCAGCACCTTTTCATGTGAGTTTACACGCAGGTTTGGGGTTCGTGAGTTTGTACATGTGTGGTTTATGCCTCTCTAATCTCTCTCAGATATCCGTCCTTGTAGATGCAGCTCACACTGAGAGCTGTGAGTCACTATCCTGGATCATTGCAAACGCTAATGGTTTGTGTTTTAAAGCATTTGGCATCCGTCTGATGAAATGCAATGAAGAGACAAGAAACAATGAGTAAGGCTGAAAAGATGTGAATGGCTCCTGTTAATAAGATAAATGCTGAAATGAGTCCCGGGGATCACAGTAGGCTCATTGCGAAGATCGCTTGGCCGGTGAAGAGGCGTTAAACGCAGGTTTGTGCGGCTCCAACACAGCTATCAGGAAACAGTTGGAGGCCACTCATAAACCAGTTCAGGCTCAGAAGAAGATATTCAGAAGATATTATTAGTTCAGTTCTTTCATTTGCTGATGAGAAAACCAAAGTGTTTTCTACTAGTCTGCTCTGAAGAAAATCAGGGGCGCTTTTCTGAAAAGCAAAACAAAAATAAATAAGCCACATGATTTGAAGATTCAATCATGTTTATGTTCAAAATTATTTAATTATATGTAATTTGTCAGTTCTTTTCTTCACTTGACCCTTTCTATAATATATGTGTGTGTAGGCGTACCTAAGAAACGTAAGAAAGTTATACATATAAGGAAATTATATGTATAAATTCTATACATATAGTCATATTTTTATGATTATATATATATATATATATATATATATATATATATATATATATATATATATATATATATATATATATATATATATTTCATTTAACTACATCTAATTTGTCATAATGTCTGAAGTTCTGTTTTTCACTTGACCCTTTCTATAAAAGATATCTATCTATCTATCTATCTATCTATCTATCTATCTGTCTATCTGTCTATCTGTCTATCTGTCTGTCT